GGTGGGAGTGCAGACTGGTGCAACCACTGTGGAAATCAGTGGGGAGATACCTCAAAGAACTAGGACTGGAAGTCCCATTTGACCCAGCTATTCCCCTGGTGGTTATCTTCCCAAAAGAATTAAAAGAATCATACCACAGTGATATATGTGCACCCATGTTTATAGCGGCACAGTTCGTAATAGCTAAAACTTGGAAACAGCCCAAGTATCCATCAACTGGACACTGGATAAAGAAGATGTGTTGTTTTTTTTTTTATAAAATGGAGCACTATTCAGCCATAAAGAACAAGAAACTAGAGACATTTATAGCTAAATGGATACACATTGAGGCCATACTCTTAAGTGAATAAATAGGACACGTGTAAATACTGAATAGTTTCTTTGTCGTGTAAAACTAAAAGTGTAAATATGGATAAAAATGTATAATTGATATTGTGCAATAGGAAGAAAAGGTCTAAAGGAGTAGGCGAAGTGGGAGGGGTAGGGGAAAGGAAAGAAGGGAAAAGGAAAAATATGAGAAAAGGAAAAAAAAATGGAAACAAAATCTTTGTAAATAGGGAAGGGTGGAGAGGGTGAAGGGAGGGCAAGGGAAAGGGAAAAAGAATAAGAACCAAGATACATCATGTAAAGGTACAAGATGCCAATGATGAATGTAACTGTACGGTATACCTAAAATGTACCAATAAACTTAATGGAAAAAAAAAAAGATTTCCACCTGAGTAACTGTGCTCTTGTTTTTTGTGTGTGGCTTTTTAGAAATACTGTTAAAGATATTTTCTTCAATGAGTGCAATCCATTAAGTCAAATTCTCTAAACTTTGCCTGTAGAATAATCTTTTCAAAAAATAATCATTAATTGATTTAATTCAACGTTTTCAATAATATTCAAACTACCACTAGAGGGAGCCCTTAGCTAAGAAGAATAATTGTTTTCTCACTTTCTACTGGGAAACAAATATGTAAATATTTTGTTTGGATACTCAAATTTTCCTTTGTTCTCTAAATTGTTGAGACAGTATTTAAGGAAACAAATTATTCTTAAGCTCATACTCAAATGAAATATGAGAAAAGTCTAAGCAAAACCCAAAACACTTGTGCAGGTAAGAAATGGAGGAAAGCTAATTTCATTTAAATACGACATCATGGAGCAGGAGCAAGACCAGAAAATAAGGTGGTCAGAGGGCATCTCCTACAAGTACTATTGCAAAAAGGATACGTAAAAGTCCTTTCTCTGATCATTCTGAAGTAGATGTTGCAGTATATTTTACTATTTCTATCATCTTCTGGAAGTTTATAGCCATACTATAAATTAAGCACAAAATTTAAATCAACTTGGAGAAAGCTAAACAGGTTAAATTACAAGAAACAAAATCAAATAACTTCTTAATGTAATATATATTTCTGTTTCTACCAAGTCATCCCAGTGCATCTGGAAATCTTCGAATGAATGGAATGGACAGTCAGCAGGTACAGCATGAAGAATATTTATTATTTGTCCCATTTTCATACTATGAAAAATGAGAGTTTGTAAAATATTAGGTGTCAATGTCTAAATATAGTTTGACAAATTAACTATCTGATTTAGAAAATATTCAAAAAGATCTAGCAACCATTTTGTTATCTGTGTATAAATAACAAATGAATCATTTGCTTCTAGTTCCAAACACTGTATTAAATCTTTTATCTTAATTAACAAGGAGTACATATATTTACCATATATGACAAGATGTTTTGAAATATGTATATACTGTGCTATAGCTAAATCAAGGTAATAAACATATGCACTACCTCATACATGTAAATTTTGTGGTGAGAATATTTAAAAGTTTGTGATTTTCAGGAATAAAACACAGTTGGCTGGGGATTTAGCTCAGTGGTTCTGCTGCCTGCCACGAAAGCGCAAGGTCCCGAGTTTAATCCCAGGTACCAAAAAAACCAAACCAAACAAAAATAAAACACAATGTTATTATCTACAGTCACCATGTTGCACAATAATTTCTTCAGTTTATTTCTATCTGAAATTCAGTATCCTTTGAGCAACACTCCCTAATGTACCTTCTCACCTCACCCCAGCCCTTGGTAATTACTATTCTACTCTGTTCTTATGAGTTTAATCTTTTAGATTCCTTATATGAGATTTTGTGGTCTTTCTATCCGGCTTATTTCCCTTAATATAATGTCTTCCAGCCTCATAAATGTTGCTCCAAAATGACAGGGTTTCCTTTTCTGTTAAGGATTTTTTTCAGTTTTTATTTTTTATTAGTATACGTTCACAGAACATAATTTCATGCCTCTTGGGGAGTTGGTCCATGATTTATTTCTTCATCCCCTTCTAAGGGTTTTTTTTTCTTCATCCTCTTCTAAGGACTTTTTTTTGTAGCTACTGTGAATGGGGTTGTTTTCCTGATTTGTTTTCAGATAGTTAATTATTAGGATACAAAAGTACTACTGATTTTTGTATTTTTGGTGGAATCTTTAGGGTTTTTTATATATAAAACATCAAATCATTAGCAAACCGACAATTTAACTCCTTCCTTTCAATCTGGATTCCTTTTATTATTTTGCTTTGTTTTCTGAGACAGGGTCTCCTTATGTAGTTCAGGCTGGCCTTGAGGCTCATGGGAATCCTCCTGCCCAGCCTCCCTCCTGCCTCAGCCTCCCAAGGGCTGGGATTACAGATATGTACCACCATGCCTGGCCATTTTAGATTCCTTTCATTTCTTTCTTTTGCCTAATTGCAGACAAGGACTTTCAGTACTGTGATGACCAGAAGTGATGAAAGTGAGCATTCTTGTCTTTTTCCTGATTTTAGAGGAAAAGCTTTCAACTTTTCACTGTTGAGAGTAAAGTTACTTTCAAATGAATTGGGGGTAAACATGGCCACATAAAAGTTTGTCTATTAATTATCAGACTTTAAGGAAAAGTCTATTAAGAGTTGAAGAAATCAGTCACATCTGTTCCCTATTATTCCCTGCTACAATATTTAACTATGTGTATAATACTAGTTAATTAGTTTATTTTCCCGAGCAAGCTAAAATTTCATCTCAATAGTTATATGTTATTTCTTTGAAGAGAATATAAATAAAACTCAGCTCATATAAAATTATGAATCATTACTAGGTACAAATTTAAAAAGTTTTCATTTCATAATTATGATAGGTTTAATGAAAAATCTAGGAATTATTTTACTGTTATTTGAAACTAAAAGTAATAAAAATGTAAAAATATAATAAAATTATTTTAGTAATTAATAAAGAAAATTTATGGCTTGTGTAATTATGTTATTCCAATATGTTTTTAAAGTTATAATTTGATTTTTAAAATTCTTCAAATTCATCATTGCACATAGCAATGTTAAGGAAGAAACTCCTATAATTTGAACCCATTCTAGACATTATAAACCTAAATCTCACCTGGGCAAAATATAGCACCAGTTGCTCAAAATGGAATGTCTTTCAATAACAGCCATCTTGTTAGTATGAAAATTCTCTATAGTACTCTGAGAAATATCAAATTCCTTTAGCTTTAATTGAAATAAGATTTTAATATGTAAGTCATCAAAGCATTCATCAAAGAAAAAGAAATATTAAAATATATATATCTTTACACGCACACAGTTGGTTATAGTTTTAAAGATTTAAGTTTTACTGAATCACTGATACACTTTATATATATGCTATGATCAATGTTGTAGCACACCTTATTTCTCCTTTGTACAGCGTATCAAGTATTTCATGCTTTCCCTTGTATTCTCCAAACCAAAGCTCCTATTTTATACTTAATGTCAACCAGTTTTCAGTTTTTTGTTATATTAATTTATAAGAAGTTGAATCCCTTCTCAAAGGTTTTTATATTTTATAGAATAAGTTCTTTTTTGCTGGTATATGTTTGCAATATTTACATTAGTTTTGGGGACTGGTACATATATATAACATATCTTCATAAATTTTGATTCCCTTTCCCCCCAAACTTCCCCCTCCCAGATCTCCTTCCCCATCTCTAAAATGTCTGCCTTTATTTTACTCTTTAATTTATTTATATTTTGGGTTTCTCAGAGAAACCATACAAAATTTAACTTTCTGTGTGACTTATATTTCACTTAATAGTCTTATCTCAACTTCTATCCATTTTCCTGCATCCATCTAGCTTAATGATTTAATAAAATTCTATTGTACATATTCCACATTTTCTTTTTCCATTCATCCACTGATCGGCAACTAGGCTGTTTTCAGAGTTTAGCTACTGTCAATTGCACTGCTATAAACATTGGTATGCATGTATCACTATAATTTTATGTCTTTAACTCTTTTGGGAATATACCCAGGAGAATAGCTGGATCAAATGGAATTTCCATTTTCAGTTTTTTGAGAAATCTCAATACTAATTTCCATAGCAGTTGTCCTACTTTACATTCCTACCATCAGTGTAAAAGGGTTCCTTTTTTCCTAAATCCTCACCAGCATTATTGTTGATTTTTGCGAGGAGTAGCTTCTTAATTTTTAAACTACGTATTTTTCAGTAGAATATAAGGGAGTTACACTTCTACCTGATCTTTTAAAGGATGATAGTGCTTATGCTCAATTTGCTTTTTATATTCCCTTTCTGACTCCTATAATTCTCTTTTCTTATTCCTCAGGTTTCCTACCTAAGCAGTATTTCAGCCCTTATATAGCCAGTAAGAGTTTACCACTTACAGTTCTCTCACCCTGCAAAGTCTCCTGGGAGGCATTTTCTAATAGATGCAAGAGGCTTCAAGTGAGGTAAAGAAATATTAATGGGTGAAAGGACATATATTAAGATTACAGAGAATGGTCATAATTCTTCATCCCCTTTTAAATCACCATAGCAACTCTAGGAAACAATGTTCTAACCTCTTTACTGGAATTTTCAAGGAACTCCACTTTTTACTGCTTACAAAATTCACTAGAATCTTAATGATATAGTTGCTTAAAACGCTGACCACACTGATTTATCTGACTCCTACCAGCCACAGTCTTACAGGCCCTAATCAAGGCTCCTTTCCTCTATATCTGGTGGCTGATCCTTCTCAGGGTTTCTACAGCCCTTCCTAAATGTTATAATATAGAGAGAGAATGGGAGGGAGGGAGGAAGGGACACAGAGAGGGAGGGAGAGGAGAGAAGGACAGAGAGAGAGAGAGAGAGAGAGAGAGAGAGAGAGAGAGAGAGAGA